TTATTTATTATTTGTTGTCTGATGAGAAAGTCCGTGGTAAAATCTTCAGTACACGCCGGAGTGTTGAAATCTGAATTTCTGCTGGGCTGCAAGCACCAGAAATTCAGATTCAACAACCCTCGACCAGTAAACATCCAGCCATGACAGCACTGCGGGTAAACTTCCTTGCAGGCCCGGAAAGCAAAAAAACCAGGTTCCACCTTCCGGAAACGCTAAGAGAGGGATCAGCCATTCGAAAAACTGCCGCTGAGTTTCAAGCCAGCCAACAGAATCTCCCACTGGCAACACTCAACCCACACCAGTGCAAGAAATGTGGACAGGAAAGTGGATATCAGCGCCCACAACTGCGACATAAGCAGACCTGCAGACAGGCAGCATTGCATCCATTGAGTTGAATACCACGAAACATACGGGAGATCAGGATGCATGAAAAAAGGGTCCAACCCGAGACGTACCACAATGAGCTGCAGGTTCGCATACCCGGAGAGGAAGGAGTGGTTATGAAATGCCTGGCGACCATAGAGGTATTTACCACGCCAGCAAAAACCATTTTTATCGTATATGGAAAATGTCACTGAACTAACCGAAGACCAGAGTCGTCACAAGCGTGGTATACCGCTATACGTCTCGCTTCTGGCCGAAGCAAGGAATGCCGCAAAGAGAAATTCTCTAACAGGTCTCTTTGCGGGGAACCAGAGCGGTACAGCCTCAACTTTGAAAGACAGCTCATGAATTACTGGAATGGATGCAGTGCCGCCTATGGAGGAGAGGCAGAAAGGAGAACAAGGTAACTCCCTATCGGACATCACTTCAAATCTATGTGCAATTGAGGAGAATATCACACCGGGTGAGGATGAATCCAAGTTGAAAATGACTACTACCGCCATCCCTACAGCTTCATCTAAGCTAGACGATACCGTGGCTAGCGATGGCCTGACGTATCAAATGCCCTCTGCTGCCAGCTCTTTGCTGGCATCTCCACCATCTGAATTAATAGTGAAGAGGTCGGCAATAAATTGCTCCCAAGCTGCTGGCCCTTCTAATATGAAGTTAGTTGGCGCTTTGCCTCCTTCTTTGTACACCGGGTCTGATAATGGTTCTCCTTCATTATAAGTGATGAACAGATCGGTTGATGAAATTGATCTGGCACTCCAAGAAATCATTTCTTATGGAATTCGAAAAATAACTTTGAAAAAAGTAAGTTCATTACCTCTCTTCAAATTCATGAAATGAATATAAATATACAGAGAATCAGCGTGAAAATTTCTATTCTTCGAATTCAAATTATCATCAGGATCGGTGGTATGCGTCCTTTACAGCGGACTTTAGATTCGTGGAAGTATGGAAGTTCAGCTGAATGTTTAATATATGTTTAAAATGAGTTTTTTCCGTTAACCATCTATCGTCGAAACTTTTACTAGCTGAGAACTAACGAGATATTACCTTTCAATGTGTGATTCCTGACACGGGTTGGGTTTGAACCACCGACTCACACACCGGTCGATTGACTAAGTGAACGAAGCACCCACGTGTAACCGCCCGGCTGCCGATCGAGCTGGTGAAAATGATCTCTTCTGCCCAGCTGCTTTAGGAACTGCTGCCTCATATCAATTCCATTATTACTTGAAATTTCAAGTAAAGCGTCAAGAATGCGATGAATCAAGATTTTTCCCCCCTGAAAAGAATTATTGCCATACAACATGGAAATTTAGTGATACTGTTCGAGCATTCACATTCGCTGGCGATTAACGACCAAAGACGGCATTTTTTTGATTTTCCATAGATCACATCAATTGACAAAAACGGGTTGTTGATGAAATGTTTGAACAAATTTTTTCCTGAGAAACACCTAAGATAGTGGTAGCAATGGCGAATCCCTTTATGAAATAAAAAAGAACCTCGTTCAACTCATAAACAGAAAATAGTTTATGAAACTGAATATGGAAATTCGAATATGAACTACGACCAAGGCGATCTCAAAGAGATTACCGTACATTTCTTCGCAAGTGTACAATAGGAAAGATGATTCAACTTTTCAGTTTACACAGATTTATGACTAATAAAAACTCTCTCTACATACTAAGGAAGGTTGAAAACCTGAAAAAATCCATGAACCTCCACTGAATTTTAATTTCTTGAAACATATGTTGAAATAATTGAAGTATAGCCTGCATTATAGAAATATTTCCTTCTTGTAGAAAATAATATAATCTACTCCCATGTCTACATTTTTCATTTTGATTCGACTTCAAATCGTTACCAGTTTTATGATAATATTATTAATTCAGTTATGGTTCCAGTGGGGAAAGGATATAACATATTTCATGGTATAGAAAATGATGAAATGTAGAATTCACAAGAGAGAATTTGTGGTTCATAAAATAATAAATCAAGAATCCCATTTTGAGGCGAATGTCTATTTCCAATATTGGAATTATTTTCCATGTATCAGACATCGTTACATTCCACTTGATCATAAATACTTAAATTCTCAAAACCCATCAACATAAATGATTCCGTTAGAAATATAGAGATAACATCAGCTTATCCTGGATAATTTTGAAATCTGAAGAATCGTGAACGGAAATTTTGTTTTTTCTGATGAAAATTTCAATGACAAGTACTACAAACCTTGTTGATGTGTTGGAGACATTCATAAAGTAGTTATACATCACCTACTCGAAACTGATCAGTCATAAGGCCACATATCACTCCGAAAATTAAATATTTAGCGGCGACTTGGCGCAGGTGATAATGTGCCCGAATCACAATTGAAAGGTCGTGAGTTCGAACCCTACGTCGACTATATACTTTTTTTTGGGAAAATTTATCTTGTTGAAATTTGGATGATACCGCAACGTTACAATGGATGACGGACTACGAATATCCATGTTGCTGACTAGGTAGCTCGGGGACTCATTAACATTGACTGAAAACTATTTTAGTATCCTGATAATGCTATTTTGGTTATCAAATCGCACGTCGAGAGTCAGCATTTTGTTCTGGTGATGAAAAGGTGGTTTCAATAGATACTCTTATATTGTTTTCTAGACACGAAGAAATCCACCAACTAGTTGTGTATAAATCCACGAATATCATATTAGTACAATTTTGACAGCAATAGGTTATGTTAGGCAATTGAAAGCCCCATTGAGATCAGAAAGTGAATTGTTTCATAATCTACCTTAAATTTTTCTCAGAATTATTCGAATCAGACTTCTCGTTCAGAAGTTACGACGGTTATAAAAAGCTATGAAAGTTACATGACAGAAATAAAACTCTGAATTGCACCCGTACGAATTACCGGCTGTTCGCTATTCATCAATATTTTGATAGAAGAGTGTGCGATTTGAAAAAACTTCAAACCTTCATTATTTTTTTTTCTTTTTAAGATGGACACACACCCACCCGAAGACCGAAATCGATGGCCGTCCCTCCGCCCCCTGCTTGGGACACTCAACTGGCACGTGCACTTTACGCCTACCTGTCGAGTGGCGAAAATCAACTCAGTTTTTTGGAAGGCGACCTCATTGCCCTCATAGGGGACAGAAATAAGGGATGGCAGTTCGGAGAGAACTTGCGGACACAGTGCAGTGGATGGTTTCCTTTGGCGTATACCGAGTTCTTAGATGATCCTACCTTGTGAGTATATTCCGAATAGTTTGAATTGATATAACGAATGAATTTGTCTCATGATCACCCCATTAACGATGTTAATGAATTACATAGTGACAATTCTTATACATCTGAAATGATGTATGTTCAGAAAATATTAGGAATTTTTGGATTCCACGGGTTTGGAGAGTAATGTTGGTATACTCGTACACGCCTCTGAAATGTGCTGTATTCATTGTTCATTTTGTCTATGGCAGCGGCTTAGGTTGGACGTGATTTGAAGGGTTTGTCGATTTTGGTTTGTTGAAAAAAACTAATCGAAGAGTTTGTATTTTGAGTAAGTATATGAAATTGTGAGAAAATGTATGAAATGTTATCTAAGGAGTACGCTGAGTTCGCTATGGGTGAAACAAAAGTTTCATACGCGTTTCCAAAATACCCGTGAAGACGTTAAAGATGACGAACGCCCTTGATGCCCAGGCACACCGACAAACGAAGAAAACGTGAAAAAAAATCGTGTGCGTCTCGGGATGCCCTACAGAAGTGATAATTTGACCTAACAGCATGCAAAAGAATAGTTTTAGGACATTTATTCCAATATTTCGATACTTTTTATTGTCATCATCAGGGAAACTACAAGAGCTCATTCTTTACATCAAGATCAAAATTTTATTAGTGGTGCCATTCCTCTCAGTTGAGACAACTCAAAAACCAGTTTCATAGAACACTATACC